ATTAATAATAATTGGGTCAATATTATTATTAACAGTTTTTATGATTTCTACATCGTCAGTCATTTTTTCTGCTCTGTTGTCAACATGTACAGTGATGGGAAACCCAGACTCTTGACCGTTTTGCGTTAGCCGTTAGCTTCACCAGCCGATCACAGGCTCACCTGGTTTCTGAGGACTCCAGAACCTCCTTGGCTTTTAGTAATAATAAAACAGTAAGACAAGCGTGTTTTCATGTAAGTTATTATTGCTGTGCAAAACTCTTCACTTGCTCACCTCCAGTGAAGTGCCCATGACGATCAGCAGGTCTGCGATTGGGAAGTCTGTTAGGTATTTAAAGAAACGTGGTGGAAGTTCCTCCCCAAAAAACACAATGTCKGGTTTTATCACGCCCTTACAGGTGGGACATTTAGGGACTGTCCCAGTCATCACAGCTGGCTAATCAGACACAAAACAAAAGTTTCATGTCATAAACAGTCAWACACCACAGAGGAAACGTTCACTTCTAACTGGATCTGTAGGGTCCAAATAAAATGATATATTGAACCAAGTTGAGACCACTCTTGTAGGATCAGAGTCGGACTCACGTGGAGGTCTTCGCCGTTATATTTTCTCAGACACGAGGTGCAGGTGGCGGTGGCAAATGTCCCGTGGGCCTCCACCAACATTTCTGGGGGAATTCCTGCCACTTGAGCCAAAACACAACAAACGTGTCAGCCACAGAGTACTGAAACCAGCTTGTTGTTGCGGTGTTAGAAACGTACGTCTCTCCAGCCCGTCGATGTTCTGYGTGTACATTCGGAGGAGCTGGCCCTTCTTGTGAAGCAGACACACAAAGTAGTGTGTCAAATTAGGCTTGTAGTTTCCTGGATACAGCTCTCTGGCCAGAGTGAAGAAGGGAGTTGGGTCTCGATGAAAAAATTCTATCTCAAAAATGGCCTCGGCATAGGGCAGGTTGTACTGCTGCAGGTTATCATAGAGACCACTGCCAGGAGACCTGGAACACCAGGAYATGCTTCAGATTTACAGGACTCAGGACATCCACAAGAAATCTCATGCAGGTGGTTGTACCTAAAGTCTGGGATGCCACTTGGAGTGCTGATCCCAGCTCCGGCCATCACCACCACCCGTTTGTACTTCTTTTTTTGGATGTTCTTAGCGATGTCCTCCAGAGTCTGCTGCTTGACGGCCGTGCCTCCGCCACGAGAGAGAAATCCTCTGCTCCCGTTCCACAGAGCACCTGTCTGCAGGCGGCAAAAACTTGGTTTTACATCAGCAGCAACTAGACAGATGAATTCAAACAAAATCTATACCTGAAAACACCCTGATTCTTTCACTTAATATTGTTATTAGTAGATGTGTTTGTACTCAAACACTCTTTTTTACCATTAATAAACACATCTACAGTATGAGTTGTAAATATAAGCTAATTAAGACAAACATAAAATTTATTTCCCACATTTCATGATTTTCTTCACCTTTATTATATTCCTTGCAAAAAGGGAATACGATTTGGCTTTTAAACATATATAATTAATATCACAATTTGGCAGTCTTACTTCAGTTTGAAAAGGTAATATTTTTAATTATTTTTATTAGACATACACTGCCTGGCCCAAAAAGAAGTTGCCACCATAAAAAAGGCCACACTCTAATATTTGTAGGACCACCTTTAGATTTGATGATGACACATTCTCTGTGGCGTAGTTTGGATTATCTTCTGCAATGTGACCAGATTAAATTCCACCAAGCTCTTTCATCGATGATGGTAGAGTCTGACCTTCTCCAGCACATCCAAAGATTCTCTGTGGAGCTGATCCATTTGTGAAAATGATGTCTCGTGCTCTCTGAACCACTCTTTCACAATAAGAGCYCCATGAWTCCWGGCATTGTCCTYTTGGAATATGTCYGTGCCATCAGGGAAGAAACAATCAYTGATGGAATAACCTGGTCATTCAGTWTATTCAGGTAGTCAGCTGACCTCATTCTTTGAGCACAGACTGTTGCTGAACCTAGACCTGACCACCTGCAGCGACCCCACATCACAGACCTTAGTTAGATCCACTTTTTTTGGCTAGGCAGTGTACTTCTCTTTTATTAAAAAAAAATAGTAAAAAAATAGTAGGTCTAATTTTAAGGTTGTTTATGATTTCCCAAAAGAAATCAGTATGAGAGGACAGTAACTTTGTAAAAGGTCAAATGTCAGAATAATAATTATTCTGCTGAATGTTTTCACTGAACAAAAAATAAAACTTTTTTTACCTGACAAGTGAAGCGGCTGAAGTGAGCGGCTGCACCTCCAGCTAGTAATAAGCTTCTGTGGGCTATAAAACAGAACATGTGTCACACAATAACATCAATAATGACAGATTTAGCTTCATCAGATGTACACAAACTGACCGTTTGCACAGATCGTCCTGGCTGCTCCTGGAAACACGCTGCTGCTGCCGAACATACAACAAACTCTGAGAGGCGACATTACCGAAGAACTCAGCCAACAAGCCATCAGCTCACTGCAGGAGCCCTGCAAACACACACACTGCTTTATGGAGGTCCATGAGAAGACCTGGCAGCACTCAAACCCATGTCTAATCCACCACACGTACAGAGTTGTCTCACTGACGTTTGTTCGAGGACCTTGACGCAGAAATTTGAGCTAACGTAATGTTGCGTTCAAAGTCCCTCGAAAACTACAAGTCAAAGTCGAAGGAGCCATTTTCCACGCCTTTTCAATAAAACGAGAAATAAAATACGTTTTTCTCTATATTCGCAGTATTATTATCATCAAATTTTGCCTGTATTTACGCACTATAAAGGTTACACACACACACACACACACACACACACACACACACACACACACACACACACA